TTAAAAACTAATTTCTCTACAAAATTTATCCAATTTTTACTCATTTTACTAATTCTCAACAAACTTTTTTACTTTTTACAATTTTCAGAAAGGCTTAAAATGTTTACTTTGTCCCATGTTAAGAGGTGAATTTCTGTTTAGTACCTGGTTTTAAAAATGAAGACATTGGGTCCTTATGTTATGAAAAGTATATGAATAACGTCCACAAAAAAAGAACAAGTTCAACAAAATATCAAAGAAAAAGCTGAATAAGAAAGAGAAAAAACTAGACAGCAGAAGAGAGAAGAGAAAAAGTACGACCACATCAACATGGACTTAACGTCGTTGCTGTCAACTTAACGGATAGGACCTTATTCATACACTTTTTATAACATAGGAACTCAATGTCTTTATTTTTAAAACCGTACAAAAATTTACCTCTTAACATGAGACCGAAGTATGCATTTAAGCCTTTTCAGAAAAGTCTAACTCTTGAAATTCCTATTTAGCAAATATGTTGAAAAAGAAATTAGGACCATCTAGTCCATGAATAGTACACAAGATATTCCATTGCTCAATGGTTGCATTTCCCTCTCACTCTTTCATATTTTTGAGTTCAATTATGATGGGAGAAAAGAATCTAATTCTTCGGGTGCGGTTTAAAAAACCTCTTCCATGTTTTGGTCAAAGTTAGTTTGATTCTATACTATAAAAATAATGGCTGTAATATTCGTATTTATAAAATGTGGTCAATTTTTTTTATCATTGATGGTATAAACGATTGACAAAGGGCCATATCCACCAGTCTTAAAAATATAAAGACAAAATTCAAGGTTTATAGATCACAGGAGATTCAAACCAATTCTTGAATTGTTATCGGTGAATTTGCTACTTAGGTTGTAATCAAAATAAAATATTTAAAAATGCTATAAAGAAAACAAGAATTAGCAGAGCCTTTGCATACTACATTACCAGTGAAAGGATCTTGTATACATTGAAATAACAAAAAAGACAGCCAACAAAACTCTTCCATTGAAATAACAAAGGACAAAAAACCATTGCTAACATTATTTTAAAGCTGATTTATGTTTTTTGATCGGTTGTATAAAATAGACACATTATACAAGAGTAGTGCTCCAGCTCAAGTACCATAACAAAACATTGGAAAGAGTGGCATCAAGATTCTCAATTCAGTGGAGGTGTAGTTAAGTTTACTATTAACATTTAATTTCCATCCAAAGACAGATAAGTTACAGAAATGTGCTACAAATTATTTAATGGTGCACCAAAATTATTGTTAGTCACCCGTACAAAAAATTACCCTTTCTAATCAACTTCCCCATTATCAGGGAACATAAAGGTCAAAAACCTTACTGGGAGGATCTCTTTATCAGTGTGTAGACGATGTTCCCTCCGAAACTGGTGCACTCTATCAAGATATCACCACCCTTTCCAGGATTATCTACTAAAACAGAAAAAAAAGAAAATAAAACATTGCAATATCATTTTCAAATATTTTGGAATAATCAGATACCCTGCAATATTCAAAATAAACAATCAAACGAGTAAACATACAGTTACGAATCCAAACTGACAGTATGAAAGCATACCTCTTATGGATAATGAATCAGTGCAACGCAAACTACCAAAAACTAGATTTCAATGTTACTATATTACACTGTCCAACGTTATAATGAAGTTTGCTGGCATCCTAAAGTATGGATATTTATTGAGCAATCACAGCATTCCAACATATATTCTGATTAAACACCAGCACCAATCACACCTCATTCTGCTATTCGTCAAAACGAATATAATGTTAAATTGACAATACCTGACTCTTTCATCCTTTAGCCCGAAAATGTCACATTATTCTCCAAAAATTTCAAAATTTGGTCTGAATTGTCCTTATGCAAGGGACACACTATACGTTGAAAAGGATAAGTGTGGGCAACATTTGAGATTTCTAGGGACTAATGTCATCATTTTTCCTTCTTGAGGGACAGATGGGCTGCAGTTAAACAGACTCCAATATGACAAACGAAATCCCTATCACTTCTTCACAGCAAGTCAATTACTATGTTTATGTAATCATATGATGACTCAGGTAATAGGAACAGTACAACAAATCAAGCTAATGATTTTTATACGATGTGCACTGGTACATGAACTATTAAAAAAGTTAAAAGAGTGAGCTTTCTTACCCAAGTTCACTCTGATAACTGTGTCAATCCACCGAAAATGCTAATTCCATTGATTACCAATCACCAGATACCATTTGTTCCATGAAAAAGGAAATCATTGACAAAATTGACAGGACTACAGTTTATGCATGCTTGTGACTACAAAAACCCTTAAGAAAATACTAAAATCATGTTCAGGGTTGCCTCCCAAAATCCAAATCAATTAATATCAAGGGAAACCAATATAAACCTTAATCAAGGAATATTTCTATCTGGAACTAAATTCCATGTATTGTTCACAAACGGTGTTTTTGTTAGACATAAGCATTTATTGTACTTTAGGAACTCGATATGACAATAAGTACATTCTTGAACTTATAGGAAAAATTCAAAAAGTTCTTTAATATTTTATTTCATAGCAAACAAATTTGGTCATCACATTCAAGAACAAAAAGGAAACCAAAATATCTGCACAAATTTATGTAATAGATAGCTATTTTATATTTATATATTAAGAGTATAAATAATTAATAACCACCAAACCCAACTAAAAGCCTATTACAACATTTATATTATAGCAGTTCACCTTATGTAACCAAACATAAATATCAATCACATTACAAAGTAAATATTGTGTACTAACAGAATAAGATATACAAGAAAAATATAATCGGGAACATGCCGGTAAGCAGCTTAATTATGTATTTATCATGCTAGTGTTTATGTATTAGTTGTTTCTATAATTAAAGTATTAACATGGTTAAACTATTTTCATATAAGCTGTAGCCTATCTCGAGAGCTTAGTGAAATAACCTGAAATATTAAAACATTTACAGAGAAAATCATGTGCTATCTTCATTAGCTTACTCGAACAGTCACAAAAATATTATATCATAATTCCTGATAAAGTATAAATAAGTTCTTCAAACATTCCATACACACCCTTAATCGTTAACCAACCAACCTACCTACCTACATCATTCACTGAGATTCTCCGTGGAAGTGTCGGTTTCCTCCTCATCCCCGTCCTGAATTTTGGCAATCTCAGCCTGCGCCCTCTCGAGAATCTGCTTCTTCTGCAGCTCCAACTCCCTGTTAAAATCCAGCCTCATCTTCTCCAACTCCATCATCTGCTGCCTCTTGCTGTTCTCAATCTTCTCATAAATCTTCCCAAACTTCTGAATCGAATCCGCCAACACACGGAACGATGTCTCATCCTCCTCATCAGCAGCACCGCCACCACCAAACTCCTCTTCTTCCTCATCATCATCACTCTCAGACTCCCCTGGACTATCCCTCATCTCATCAAATCCATTGGACCTGTTCAAGTAAACCCTAGTGTTCATAAACACATACTCCCCAGAATCCACCCCACACGCAAGGCCATACTCTTGCCTTGCAGAGGATGCCATCAACATGTCCATCTTCTTGAAGAAGGGCCATTTGCAAGAGCCCATCCCCATTTCATCCATTTTGGTTTTCTCCTTCTTGTACTTTCTCTTCAGCTTGTCCAGCACGCTTCTACACTGCGTCACGCTTCTCTCTGTCTTCAATTCCTCCGAAACCTTTTCGGCAACCTCGTGCCATTCCTCGGACCTTAAACTGTTCCTCCCGAGCTGGAGGAACTTGTCCCCCCACACCTCCAGTAGCACGAAAGTCTCGTGCTCGCTCCACTCTTCACCGGAAGAACCCGAACCACGCGAACCGTACGACAATTTGAAACGTGGCGCGAATTCGTAGGACCCTGGAGCGACTACCACCTTGCGCTTCTTCGGGATCCGGGGATACCCCACGACGTCGTTTTCGTCGTACCCATTTTCGCCTTCGTCGTTGTCGTCGTTGAAATCTTCGTGTTCGTTTTCATCATCTTCATCGTCGACTTCCACCATGGGCTGGTCGTAGCGCGTGGGCATTGGGCGGTGGTAAGGGGCGGCGCGTGCGGGGTGTTTATGTCGGTGGGAGGGATTCTGACGGTTGAGGGAGAATGACTTAGGGGGGTACCTTGCGTCGTCTTCCATGTCGTCCATGGGAGTGTGTGATTATTGGGATCGCACAGATTCCACGAATAAAAATCGCGATTTTAAGTGAAGAAATTAAGGAATGATAGGAGAATTTAATCGGTGAAGGGTGAAATTGGGTTAGGGTTTTTGTGTGGTGTCAAATTTGGGGAATGTTTCGATCTTCAGACACTTTTTCTCTTTCCTTATTTTGTGTTTGCGAAGGAATAGTGTTTGGGCTGAAAATAGTGGCCTTTGGGTATGGATCAGAAATTTAAGCGGCCTGATTNTTCTATACTATAAAAATAATGGCTGTAATATTCGTATTTATAAAATGTGGTCAATTTTTTTTATCATTGATGGTATAAACGATTGACAAAGGGCCATATCCACCAGTCTTAAAAATATAAAGACAAAATTCAAGGTTTATAGATCACAGGAGATTCAAACCAATTCTTGAATTGTTATCGGTGAATTTGCTACTTAGGTTGTAATCAAAATAAAATATTTAAAAATGCTATAAAGAAAACAAGAATTAGCAGAGCCTTTGCATACTACATTACCAGTGAAAGGATCTTGTATACATTGAAATAACAAAAAAGACAGCCAACAAAACTCTTCCATTGAAATAACAAAGGACAAAAAACCATTGCTAACATTATTTTAAAGCTGATTTATGTTTTTTGATCGGTTGTATAAAATAGACACATTATACAAGAGTAGTGCTCCAGCTCAAGTACCATAACAAAACATTGGAAAGAGTGGCATCAAGATTCTCAATTCAGTGGAGGTGTAGTTAAGTTTACTATTAACATTTAATTTCCATCCAAAGACAGATAAGTTACAGAAATGTGCTACAAATTATTTAATGGTGCACCAAAATTATTGTTAGTCACCCGTACAAAAAATTACCCTTTCTAATCAACTTCCCCATTATCAGGGAACATAAAGGTCAAAAACCTTACTGGGAGGATCTCTTTATCAGTGTGTAGACGATGTTCCCTCCGAAACTGGTGCACTCTATCAAGATATCACCACCCTTTCCAGGATTATCTACTAAAACAGAAAAAAAAGAAAATAAAACATTGCAATATCATTTTCAAATATTTTGGAATAATCAGATACCCTGCAATATTCAAAATAAACAATCAAACGAGTAAACATACAGTTACGAATCCAAACTGACAGTATGAAAGCATACCTCTTATGGATAATGAATCAGTGCAACGCAAACTACCAAAAACTAGATTTCAATGTTACTATATTACACTGTCCAACGTTATAATGAAGTTTGCTGGCATCCTAAAGTATGGATATTTATTGAGCAATCACAGCATTCCAACATATATTCTGATTAAACACCAGCACCAATCACACCTCATTCTGCTATTCGTCAAAACGAATATAATGTTAAATTGACAATACCTGACTCTTTCATCCTTTAGCCCGAAAATGTCACATTATTCTCCAAAAATTTCAAAATTTGGTCTGAATTGTCCTTATGCAAGGGACACACTATACGTTGAAAAGGATAAGTGTGGGCAACATTTGAGATTTCTAGGGACTAATGTCATCATTTTTCCTTCTTGAGGGACAGATGGGCTGCAGTTAAACAGACTCCAATATGACAAACGAAATCCCTATCACTTCTTCACAGCAAGTCAATTACTATGTTTATGTAATCATATGATGACTCAGGTAATAGGAACAGTACAACAAATCAAGCTAATGATTTTTATACGATGTGCACTGGTACATGAACTATTAAAAAAGTTAAAAGAGTGAGCTTTCTTACCCAAGTTCACTCTGATAACTGTGTCAATCCACCGAAAATGCTAATTCCATTGATTACCAATCACCAGATACCATTTGTTCCATGAAAAAGGAAATCATTGACAAAATTGACAGGACTACAGTTTATGCATGCTTGTGACTACAAAAACCCTTAAGAAAATACTAAAATCATGTTCAGGGTTGCCTCCCAAAATCCAAATCAATTAATATCAAGGGAAACCAATATAAACCTTAATCAAGGAATATTTCTATCTGGAACTAAATTCCATGTATTGTTCACAAACGGTGTTTTTGTTAGACATAAGCATTTATTGTAACTTAGGAACTTGATATGACAATAGTTATGTTCCTGTAAGTATATCATCTTAATCCAGAAGTACATTCTTGAACTTATAGGAAAAATTCAAAAAGTTCTTTAATATTTTATTTCATAGCAAACAAATTTGGTCATCACATTCAAGAACAAAAAGGAAACCAAAATATCTGCACAAATTTATGTAATAGATAGCTATTTTATATTTATATATTAAGAGTATAAATAATTAATAACCACCAAACCCAACTGAAAGCCTATTACAACATTTATATTATAGCAGTTCACCTTATGTAACCAAACATAAATATCAATCACATTACAAAGTAAATATTGTGTACTAACAGAATAAGATATACAAGAAAAATATAATCGGGAACATGCCGGTAAGCAGCTTAATTATGTATTTATCATGCTAGTGTTTATGTATTAGTTGTTTCTATAATTAAAGTATTAACATGGTTAAACTATTTTCATATAAGCTGTAGCCTATCTCGAGAGCTTAGTGAAATAACCTGAAATATTAAAACATTTACAGAGAAAATCATGTGCTATCTTCATTAGCTTACTCGAACAGTCACAAAAATATTATATCATAATTCCTGATAAAGTATAAATAAGTTCTTCAAACATTCCATACACACCCTTAATCGTTAACCAACCAACCTACCTACCTACATCATTCACTGAGATTCTCCGTGGAAGTGTCGGTTTCCTCCTCATCCCCGTCCTGAATTTTGGCAATCTCAGCCTGCGCCCTCTCGAGAATCTGCTTCTTCTGCAGCTCCAACTCCCTGTTAAAATCCAGCCTCATCTTCTCCAACTCCATCATCTGCTGCCTCTTGCTGTTCTCAATCTTCTCATAAATCTTCCCAAACTTCTGAATCGAATCCGCCAACACACGGAACGATGTCTCATCCTCCTCATCAGCAGCACCGCCACCACCAAACTCCTCTTCTTCCTCATCATCATCACTCTCAGACTCCCCTGGACTATCCCTCATCTCATCAAATCCATTGGACCTGTTCAAGTAAACCCTAGTGTTCATAAACACATACTCCCCAGAATCCACCCCACACGCAAGGCCATACTCTTGCCTTGCAGAGGATGCCATCAACATGTCCATCTTCTTGAAGAAGGGCCATTTGCAAGAGCCCATCCCCATTTCATCCATTTTGGTTTTCTCCTTCTTGTACTTTCTCTTCAGCTTGTCCAGCACGCTACTACACTGCGTCACGCTTCTCTCTGTCTTCAATTCCTCCGAAACCTTTTCGGCAACCTCGTGCCATTCCTCGGACCTTAAACTGTTCCTCCCGAGCTGGAGGAACTTGTCCCCCCACACCTCCAGTAGCACGAAAGTCTCGTGCTCGCTCCACTCTTCACCGGAAGAACCCGAACCACGCGAACCGTACGACAATTTGAAACGTGGCGCGAATTCGTAGGACCCTGG